TCAATCCCTCTGCCTGAGAGACACAAAATGGCATTGTCTCTCCTGCTATTGCAGGGAGCAACTCTGGAGATGCTTTTCCTCCAGTTGTTGTAACCCAACTGCTTGCAGCCAGCTCTCTTCTGACTGAGAGTCACAATGCACATGTTGGAGTAGTCCAGAGTCTTTGGGGCCTGAAGTTAGTCACCAGGTTATGTCATTCATGCTCTTGCCCAATAATTCCTACTTCTCTTCCTCCTGCTCCCAAATGTGGGATCTATCCAGGCTCAGCTCACATGTCAGAGGAGTTCAAAACCATATGAAAGCTCTCTGGGACCAGCAGTTGGTTGCTCTGCTTGTAAGTTTGACTCCTGGTCTTGCTGTCATGGGCAGTTTGTTTTTCTGAAACACAGAAGAAGCAGGCAGCCTCTGTTTTCAGTCCCCCCAGCCTCTGTACTACTGTCTGAGAGAACAGCTGGAAGCTATTTTTAAGCTCCCCGAGTACCATAAGGGCCTCAGTTACTCTTGCAATCCTATTGATTTCAAAGTGCTTGGATGCAACTGAGAGCAATGTTTGGCCCTATAATTATAATTCACATATAGCTCACTGTAGATAGTGTAACTACAGAGAGGAATTTGAAAGTACAGCTATTGATTTTAAAATAAGCAGAAAAACTGCAAGATCCATAAATAATTCTAATTACTAGGCTTACAGTAATAGTTTCATTAAGCTATAATTGGAAAATCATTCCAAACACATTTGTTTAGGTATGTTATAGAAGGCTATTTTGAAATTCCACAACTATCACCAAAGACTTTATTATATTTAGTCACTTGTAATGTTATGATATTACTATTCTAATTAAGATAACATGTTCTAGATATAAAAGCTGTTGTGTTTCAGTTGCTGCTAAAGTTAAATGCCACATTATAAATCCTGAGACTAAGTTTTAAGTATAACATAGCATTGAAGGATCTCATGGTTAAGGCCATGGACGAAGACTTAGGATACCTGTGTGACTACAGATAAGCCACTACCATCAGTAAAGCAGAGATAGTAATATTTTCCCATGTCACAGGAATATGGAGGATAAATTACAGTTACTATGGTGATGGAGGCCATGTAAATACCTCAATAGATATTTAAGGTCAGAACATTATTACTAGCACTGGGCTGGAAATTTTTTCTGATCCCGTGAACATTTTCAGGATATTAGGGGAAAAAACATATCCTGTCTTGAATTGGTATGAAAAGATAACCTCAAAAATATTCACAAACTGAAAATAAAACAAACAAACAAAAAATTGGTTCGGGTCAATTGAAATGTTGTGTTCTAGATTTTGCCCATTTTAATTTAAAGAAGAAGAAAAAACAGAAGTAGCTTATTTTGAAAATAGAAGTAATTTCATACTAGAAGTTTTTTGTTGTTATATGCAGTATTATAGCCGTGTTGGTTCCAGCCTATTAGAGCGACAAGGTGGATGAGGTATATATCTGATATTGGACCAACTTCTGTTGGTGAGAGACAAGCTTTTGAGTTTACACAGAGCTCTTCTTCAGGGAAATTAACTCAGCGTGTCGCTACTAAATACAAGGTGGAATAGATGGTTTAGCATAAGTAGTTAACACATATTTCAAGGAAGCATTCAAGATGAAGTGGCCCATTAACATCCACACCAGCATCAACTTTCTGGACACCACAATTAACTCCAACAATGGAACCCTACAGACAACTATATACAACAAACCACTGGATAGCTACACCTACCTTCATAGATCCAGTAGCCTCCCCAAACACACCAAGACATCTGTTATCTACAGCCAGGTGTAGATAACAGCCAGGTGAGCTTGTAGGAGATGCATCTTCAATTACCCTCACAAGTGTTATTTCAGCTTTGATCACCCCCGCCTCTGGAAAACTGTGCCTGTAATCAGAATAGTGTCCCTAGGTACTTGTACGGATCCCCTTCTGAAACCAACCAGATCCTTTGTTCCGCTTGTACCCCCCCACCTCCTCAGGCCAAACTTACCATGTCTAGTGTTCTGGCCATGCTGTGTGCTTGTCAAGGAAATTGAGAAAGAAGTGTATGCGACTTTTATGATTTCAAGACTGTTAGTGCTCACACAATACTGACTCTGTGTCTATTGTTTCTTTTGCTTCTGCAGATGTGCCCTTGAGGGCTAGCTCCTACACACTGATGGAGCGCCTCCATCAGATAAGGAGGCAAACACGGAGGACATGTCAGATCAGGCCGATAGCGAGCAAAGAGCACGAAGAGACAATAAATGAAAAACTAGAAATGTATAGCCAGGAGAGGAGACAGGGCCAGGAGTGGATAATACAGGGTCAAAAGTGGATAATAAAGCTCATGGAGGACCAAATAGAGATGCTATGGTCCCTGATTGTGCTGCTGGTGAAACACATGCGTGCTCAACTCCCCTTGCAGCCCACACAGAACTGCTTTCCTTGCCCTCTCAAACACCCCACACATGAATCAAATTCCTGGCCTGTCCCAGTACCACTTACACACCACCCCTAGGGACATGCTCCATAATGACAGCTGGGCTTACACACAGCTGTGAGATTCTCACTTCAGAGAATGCTGCTCTGTCATGTCCTTTGTAAAAAATGTTAATGTGTGTATTGCTGTTTAATAAAAATGTAGGCTGATTCTTTATTTATGACCTATGCAGGTTGGTTGCAACAGAAATTCGTACACAGTGGCAATTGGCACATTTGCAGACTGCAATTAAAGTTCAGCCTGGAATCATTACAGAGATCATTCAATGTGGCGAGTAAATAATGCTGGCTCAATTCATTATGGAAAGACACATTACTGGGGCTCATTGTCAAAATGCTGCTTCAAAGCCTCCCCAAGTCGAATAGCCCCCCATTGAGCCCTTCTAATATCCCTGGTGGTTTGAGCATTGGCCTGCTAAACCTAGGATTGTGAGTTCAATCCTTGAGGGGGCCACTTAGGGAATCTGGGGCAAAATCAATACTTGGTCCTGCTAGTGAAGACAGGGGGCTGGACTCGATGACCTTTCAAGGTCCCTTCCAGTTCTAGGAGATAGGATATCTCCATTAATTTATTTATTTTATGTACCTGCTGAACCCATTCTTGAAGCACTCCTTGCTGCTGTCAAGGCTTCTGATGTAAGGCTTCATGAGCCATGGGAGTAAGGGGTAGGCTGGGTCTCCCAGGATCACTATGGGCATTTCCACATCCCCTATTGGAATCTTCTGGTCTAGAAAAAAAGTCACTGCATGCAGCTTTCTGTACAGGCAAGCATTCCTGAAGACACGTGTGTCATGCACCTTTCCTGACCATTCCACGTTGATGTCAGTGAAACGACCTCAGTGATCCACTAGCACCTGAAATACCATAGAGAAGTAACCCTTTCTGTTGATGTACTCTGCTGCAAGATGGTCTGGGACCAAAATTGGGATTTGTGTGCCATCTGTTGCCCCACTGCAATTAGGGAGTCCCACTGCACAAAGCCATTCACTATTTCTTGTATATTGCCCAGAGTCACAGTCCGTAGTAGCAGGAGGTAATTAATGGTCCTGCACGCTAGCATCACCACAACCCCCACGGTGGACTTCCCAATTCCAAACTGATTCATGACTGACCTATAGCAGTCTGGAGTTGTCAGCTTCCACACAGCGATCACCACACACTTTTGCACTGCTAGAGCAGCTCTCATTTTGGTGTCTTTGTGCCACAGGGTGAGGGTGAGCTCCACACAGAGTTCAAGGAAGGTGGCTTTGTGCATATGAAAGTTCTGCAGCCACTGCTCATCATTCTGTATCTGCATCACAATCGGATCCCTTCACTTGGTGCTTGTTTCCCGAACCCAATAGTGATGGTCCCCTATGCAGCTGCTCCGTAGATGCCAACATCAATCTTGAATTGTTTCTTTCCATGGCACATAGCGGGGCAAGCAGCACAGATTCACAGCTCATGAAATACTGCAGGACCAGCCATGTTGTGTTCATAATTCTTATCATAAAACTGGTGAGCAATGCAGGATCCATACTTTCAGAGAGAGGGTGGGCACAGAGTTTACAGGGGCAATTGAAAAACAGCATGAAATGCAGTGCTAAACCCTTGGAATTATGGGACAGAGAAAACTGCATCATGGAGCAGTGATCACACCTCCATGATACACTGCAATTCATCCCCAGAACTCCTAGTGGCAGAAAGTAGTGATTTAAATAGTGGGATCGCTACCCACAATGCGCTGCTCTCTCTGTCTGTGCTGGAGCACCAAGTGTGGATGTGCTCCACCGACACAAGGAGCATTGTGTGAACATGCACAAGTGATGTAATTACTGTGGTTGATGATAGCTGATGTAACTTAAGTCTACTTAACTCTGTCGTGTAGACATGGTCTTAGTTTCCCAGTCCTGAAAAAGAGTTCTATGTAAGCTTGAAAGCTTGTCTCTTACCAACAGAAGTTGGTCCAATAAAAGAGAATACCTCACTCACCTTCTCTTTCCAATTTTTTGGACAGGTTAAAAACTCTTCTCCTCACTCTTTTAGAATAGAAACATTCGTTTAAACTGTCCCTTTCCTGTGAAAAAGGTTTTTTTGTCAAAACATTCCCAACTAACTATAAAAAAGTAATAATTAGACAACTAAATTCTGCTTCTACGGTATATCTCACTCTTGCTACATTTAAACAAATCTCAGGAAATAAAAATGCTATTAGTTACATAGATATATGGATTAGAGCGAGTAAGCCTATTGTGTGCTTGTACTGTATATTTATACTTTATACCTAAACATCATCAATGGTCATTCACTGACATTAAAAAATAATTAAACCGTGACTGTTCAAATGATAGAAAACAAATAAAAGCAGTTACTTTCCTGTATGGAAGTTTATGGGTCAGTGTAATGCCTCATTATGCTGCTAGAGGCCGCTCTCTTTCTAAATGAAAAAAATTGTGTGCTAGACCTGTGGCCTGAAGCTATAGAGGGTAGAGAACCCGCTATTGCCAGCTGTTGGTGAACAGGGGAAACAGAAGCTCCAGAGGGAAAGGAGCTTCCCCCCCCCCTTCTATTAGTGACCAGGGGAAAGTACAGCTACAGAGAGAGCTTCACCTGCTTAAGCTTTCTAACCAGAAATCCTCCAAGTCCAAGAGATGCTTTGAGGAGTCATCAGAACTATATACAAACTCCAAATTTGGTGAGGTACCTGGACTGAACTGAAAGGAGAGGGAGGGCAGGGGAAAGGCCTCCTACCTCTTGACAAGGACTCTGCTCAAGGATCGTATATGCCATTGATCCCCCTCTACTGAAGACTTTGCAAAGAGATGACTCAAAGACAATGATGCAGAAACAGGCCAGAAGCAGCTCTTTGCTGAAGCTGCAGAGGGCTGCAGCAGAGCTGTGTGAGCTCCAGTGAGGGGCCCCCTACTCAGAACCAATAAACCTGAAATCACTACAGCTGGGTTAGGTGGCAGAGCCTCAGGACTGGACCAGGGAGTAATTCCCCTAGGAGCTGGAGAGCAGCTTGTCTGACTGCACTTCCAGACCCTGGAGCCATGCTACCTACCGATACCAAGTGGTGAGTGAGGTGTAGTGGAGGGAGAAGGGGGAGAAGGATGTGTTAAAATGTTAATATGTGCTAAAATGCTGCTTGTTTGACACTCACACCAGTGGGTGGGGGACTGAGTTAAACGACTGCTGCCAAAGACACCATGGGGTGGGTGTTTTACTTATTATTCATTTATATATATTATTGCTATGTTTTCCTGTGTTGATGCTGTGTGCTTTGTCCCCTGCTTTGTTTTGTATTTGGACTCAGTGCTTACAAGTGGGGAAGTATTACCTATAAAAGGCACCCAGGGGAGGTATTTAGCTTTTCTCAGGTTTCTGGGTAGGAGCATGAGCCAGTAATGTTTTGTCAATTTCAAGAAAAATCCCTTAAATATTTGTAGCCAGCTCTTGTTGCCACTGACAACTCCTGGGAATGCCGCAGAATGTACACAAGGGAAGATTGAGAGGGTAAGTTTGATCTTTCTAGTGGAACATAATGGCTCTGCACTTGGACTATGCCTTGCATCCTTAAAAGAATGTCTGTCTCTAAGAGAAAGAGTCCCAGAATGAAGACAATGGGACTTAAAGATTAACAGCTTAGAGCTTTATTTCTGTTCACCAGTTATCCACAAATAGTGATTTCAATGGATTTGTTATACATAATTGTTAACGAATGTATTTGAGTATGTCAGTTGTAAGCAAGCAAAGTTGAGAATTTGCAATTTGAGCTGTGTGACTGGTATGATTTCTGGTTCTGTGATTTGTTTTCAGTGATTTTATTTCTGACTGGTTAACACCACTTTCTTTTCTTTTCTTTTCTTTCTTGAAACATTGGAGAAAATACAATTAGCAAAAAGCTGCATGAATATAATATTGTTATAAAATTGCATACATTCTGTGGCCTTCCTCAAGACTTCTTATTCTTGTGCTGTAATAGAGCAATACCAGGTGAAACTGCTCTTCTTGGCATGAAACAGCATTCTTGGTGATGGTCTATTCTTTTAGATGAAAAGGGGCAGAAGGACTCAAAGGTGTTAACATTAGGGCTATCGATTAATTGAAGTTAACTCACGCGATTAACTAAAAAAATTAATTGTGATTAAAAAAATAATCATGATTAATCACATTTTTAATCACACTGTTAAACAATAGAATACCAATTGAAATTTATAAAATATTTTGGATATTTTTCTACATTTTCATATATATAGTATTCTGAGTTGTAACCGAAATCAAAGTATATATTTTTGATTATAAGTATTTGCACTGTAAAAATGATAAACAAAAGAAATAGTATTTTTCAATTTACCTCATACAAGTACTGTAGTGCAATCTCTGTCGTAAAAATGCAACTTAAAAATGTAGATTTTGTTTTTGTTACATAACTGCACTCAAAAACAAAACAATGTAAAACTTCAAAGCCTACAAGTCCACTCAGTCCTACTTCTTGTTTAGCCAATCACTAAGAGACAAACAAGTTTGTTTACATTTACAGGAGAGAATGCTGTCCTTTTCTTATTTACAATGTCACTAGAAAGTGAGAACAGGTGTTTGCTTGGCACTCTTGTAGCCGGCATTGCAAGGTATTTACGTGCTAGATATGCTAGATAGAAGTCTTAAAAGATCAACACTCCAATGTGGAAACTACAGAAACAGAACCACCGAAAAAGAAAAACAACGTTCTGCTGGTGGCATCTGACTAATGGTTTTTCTTTTGTTTTTTTACAGTGCAAATACTTGTAATCAAAAATAAATATAAAGTGAGCACTGTACACTTTGTATTCTGTGTTGTAACTGAAATCAATATATTTGAAAATGTAGAAAATGTCCAAAAATATTTAAATAAATGGTATTCTATTAATGTTTAAGAGTGTGATTAATAAAGATGAATTTTTTTAATCGCTTGACAGGCCTTGTTAACATGCCCCTGAAATTGTCCAACATTAAACAGTTTTAAATAATACCCTTGGGTTTGGTATACAGAGACCTTAGCCCGTTCAGTACTGTGCAAACACATTATAAATCCTTTGAAACTTTTTATTAAAAATACAGAGAAGGAAAACAGTTACAGCATTTGAAATGTAAAGTATTAAATAAGGCTTTCATTTTTAACATTCTTTGTTTCCTTTCATGTTAGCTGTAAATAGTCTTTAGAAGGAAAACAACAATACAAAACCCTTATTTTTGACAGTCACTTAGTTGGCAATAATTGTCCTTCCTGGGAAAAAGGAGAAAAAAGTTAGTTTAAATGGGTTGGAGCTGATGATATTGAAGTCCAACCCTGTTTCCTAGAAGACCAAACAAGACATGCACAAAAGGAGAAAGCAAAGAACAGCAAATATAGAAAATGCAGCTTCTCTCTCGAGTGTTGACTCTCACTTGCAACCCCACTGTTGGAAAAACTCAGGCACTGCACATCGTCATATTAGCCATTCTAACTTATACTGGCTTTGGGCCATTAAGGGCATTGCATTTAGCTGCCTTTCTGCTCACAGGAGTGTTGCAAACTGCTGGCTAAGCCAGACTGTTATTAAACAGAAGGCAAGAGAAGACAGAGAAGAAATACGATGGCGAACGAAAAGGACATATGGGGAGGAGTGACCCCCAGGGAGTGTTTGGAATTCAGCTGTAGCCAGTGGAGGTGGCAATGCAATCTGGGTCCCTCTCTTGGTCTGGTCTTGTCAGGACGTCTCTTGAGCTAAGGATGTCGAAGGCCCCATGATTATACAGTGGATCCCAGGTTCCCAGCACATAAGGAGTTGTTGGGTGGGAGGCAGCCATGATGCAGAAACTTGTGCCTTTCCCGTCTTTCAATCAGCAATTGTCCCCATTTGCTTCCTCTCCTAATTTCCCCTCTTTTAAGGACCCCAAAAGGGAGTGCTCGGTGGACTAGTCCATCCCTTCTTTATTTTGTTCAACAATTAGGCCTAATTTCTGGCACAATAATTTTGCTTCACTGATTTCTGGCCCCATGCTTCTCTTGCTCACCAGGCATGATCTTAATACAGTCCTTGAATTATATCAGTAGGCCTTTTTGTTTAAACTAATTTAGTCTTTCTGTCTCCCTTTTATATCTTTTACCATCAACATTTGTTATGATAGGTTACTGTGACATTCTATGAACTTTCACTCACTTTTTACAACTGAACAGACATTAGGGTAAATCTGTAGACAAAATTATTACATCAGCGGACCAGATGTAGAAAATAGGTGGCAGATGTTGCATCCCTGCTCCATCTTTCCAATTAGTCTCTCATTTAGATTTAGTGCATTTCACAGCATCTGCACTACAGGGCTTGCTTTTCAGCAAAGATTACAATAATTTCATATTCTACAACGTTGGCAGAAACTGCTTTCCTACTTTGTTGCATAACAACAGAGTGAGACTCATCTGCTTTGCTTTCAATTCTCGTCATTTTCTTAATCACAAGATGCTTTCACAGTGCCACTGTTCTAGACAGTGAGTTCAGCTGCTCTTACTGCATATTAAATGTAGTGACGGGGGTAAAATAATCCCCTTTTTTGGGGTAAGTGTGCAGAAAGGGGGAAAACGTTACTTCTTGACTCATCACATCATTACAAGAAAAGTTGTGACAGATCTTATGGATTGGATGTGTCTTTCCAACTGCACTGATTATATGAAATCTGGGATGACATCTTGTGGATTTGGGAGCATCCATAGGAAGGGCTGAGCCTTTCTGGGCCCTTGACAGCATTTTTACAAAAGAACCCTACTGGTGCTAGTTCACCGACTGCGCTTGCACATTTTCTCCAATCCCTCAAAGTGGGAGAGTGGGAGCTGGTAGGGAAACTCTGCAGTTGCCATGGCCTCTAAAAAACCCCCCACAAAGGTTTTTTGGACTTCAGGAATATATTATTTCATTAGTGAAAGAGAAAAAAATGTGGACAGACACATTCATAGTGTATCCTAGTCTCAAGTATCTATAATATTAAATTCTAGATCAGCTAAAAGCAATTTGCAAAGTCAAGAATGCATGTAAATTCTTAATTACTTGTGCTCCCTTCATTCTGCCCCCTTGTACGTCTATCCTGTTCATTAAATGAAGCAGGGGTCTTGTGCAAAAAACAGTATGTGGCCTTGTAACTATTGTGTATACATGGGGGAGGAGGGGAGAACCTCTCTTATAAGCTTTATACTAGTGGTTAGGGCATTCATCTGGGATGTGAGAGACTCAGCTTGGATGGGGGGTTAATTATTTTCTCTGCCTGAGTGAAAAAGGGAATGCACTTTCATCTCCCACATTGCAGGACAATGCCTTAACCCTTGAGCTATGGGCTATTCTGATACGTGTCTCTCTTCTGTGGAAGCTGTTCCATTTGGAATACATAAATTGTCATTGGGCCAGAGAAAGTATGGGAGTGAATCCTCTAGTCTGGAGGTAAAAGACCAAAGTTCAAGTCCCTGCTCCAATGACTATTTAATCTGTGAAACAGCTTGAACAAGAAATTTCCCACATTCCAGCCCAGTGCTCTAGCCGTTGGACTAAAGTTTATAAGGATGCTACCACTGCCACCACCTTCTCCCCTACTGCCTCCAGCTCTTTTGTTAATTTAGCTCAGTGGTGGGCAACCTGTGGCAGGTGGTCTATCAGGGTAATCCACCGGCGAGCCGTGAGACAGTTTGTTTACGTTGATCGTCTGCAGGCACGGCCCTCTGCAGCTCCCAGTGGCCACGGTTCACCATTCCCGGCCAATGGGAGCTGTGGGAAGCAGCGGCCAGCATGTCCCTGTGGCCCGCACCACTTTCTGCAGCCCCCATTGCCCCACCAGAGGATTACCCTGATGGGCCACAGGTTGCCCACCACTGATCTAGCCCCTTAGAAACACCTGGGAATGTGTTTGAAAAAAACATTTTTTGTTTAGTTCAAAATGGACTTTTTAAAAAAAAACACTGCATGTTTTTGGAATTTTCATCTCGTTTCAACCTGGACTGAATTTTTGTTTTTGTTTTTTTTGTTTTGTGTTTTTGGAACTGCCATCAAACTGAAAAAATCAATTATTCACCTA